CAGTTTAGGCCCAGGCTTTTTGAATGAGTGTCCCTAGCCCAAAGCATTGTATAGCTTCAAAGCATTTCTCCTTGATAGCCGGCCTATTAAAGTTTTAACAAAACAGGCAGGGAGGGACCATCATGTTACAGTTGCTAGTTGCTTGAACCCTGTATTGGGTCATCCAGTTGTGAAACTTGTTTTTGCAAGCTTTTGATTAGTCCAGTAGTTACACATCAATCAAATGGGATGGGTGTTGACTGACTGAATGGCATACCTTGGGGCTCTGATCACAGGACACAGTTTTGGGTAGTTCTTTTAACAGTGGGGCAGAACCCAAAATAGTCTGAACTGGTAATGGTCTATGGAGACATTTGCAAAAACCCAAACAAACATTGAATGCCTGTTCCAAGAAATATGTCTTAATCAAGGGAGAATGCGTCAACAAGAAGGATATAGTTACATAGATAGATGCTGTTATTTATGAATGGTTTAGTATAATAAAGCATTGGGTACATTTGTAACAAGCATAGAAGATAAAATCAGTTGGAAATGCTTCATTTCGAGTCGTCCCAGTCACGCTCTTGCATTCGTGTGTGAGTGCATTGTTACTGGAGTTTGGCCATTTAAATTTCATGTGTAGGTCCCACTAAATAAAGTTTGTCCCCAGAATTTTCTGGGATCAGGTTTGTCCTTAGCTTTATTTAATTTCCTAGGGTTTCTTCATTTTTCAAGAATCTGTATTTTCTTATAGCACCAGACTTTTTCAGTCTTCAGAATTTTGTGATAGCCAGAATGTGGGACTGGTTTATCAAGCCTGTTTATATTCAGGTCCCCAGAGTCCCTAAATAAATTCTGGTTGTCTTCTGCCATACCATCTCCATCTCTATAATAATCTTTGAATATTAAGGCTACAAAACTTGAACAAAATATATAGCAGTTGACCACATCCAAGCCATCCCTTTGTGAACCGCTGGAATAATTTCTTCTAACTTTTGTTCAGCATGTCCCTTATCTGCCCATTTCCCAACTCTGTCTAAATCATTAGGCTTCAATCTTGTTGTCCTAATTCAATATATATTTTGTATCAACAGGAGATTTTACCTTACAAAAATTTCCATCCAGGTTGTTGCAATGTAAATAAATGTGTAACTAGAAAATAGTCCAAATACTCATCCTTGTGGCACTTTAACTTTCTTCCTGTTCAGTTGTTCACAGTATAACTTCTTTATCTTTTTCCTGTCTAAAGTGATTTGTGTTTATTCAGCCACCTTAGAAATCATGCTGATCTGTTATTGCTTGGGGTGGTTGTGCCTCATTCCCTTTTTAACTCTTTTTTTTTCTTTATACAATAAGCTACTTCACTGATATTCTTTTGTTGGTTTCCATTTCATTATTGCAACTGTTTCTTCTGTTCCTATCCCTTGGGGTGCCTGTAAACGTGCGGGACTTGTGATCCGCATTGGAGCGTGCTAATTAGCCTCAGTGTCTCATGTATTCAGCATCTCTGCACTTCAAAATGGCAGCAGAGTGCTTTAACAAAAACTCATCAAATGAGCTATAGTTAAAGCACCACCTCCCCTGCCATTTTGAAGGGGGGTGCTGAATACATGAGATGCCACAGATGTTTCAATTAGAGCAGTTCCCAAGAGCCGCTCTAATACAAGTGCTCCCTTCTCCTACCCCTCCCTCCCCCCCCAATCTCTGGAGCATGTGTAAAGAAACTCTTGGATGCTACATTATGTTTACTTTGAAATTTACATGTCCCTCAAAGCAGTGCCTTTTTCATGCAGGGAAGACATTGAATCCTCCTTTTGTAGATGTAATTCATACCTTCCAAGGCACATTAAGTTCTCTATAGAAAAAGTTCCTGCATCCTCTTCCCTTCCTCACCTTAGTACTAAAAGCAAACAAGTTCCAAGAAACACATCAGACAAAGACACAAAATTGGACACACAAGTAATGCTTGAGCAGTGGCAATCAATCTAAAGTGGGGTTGCCAGAGTCACTGAGATGTCTCTTTGACAATCCCTTGCAGTCAGGGATGAGTGTCTTCCATAATTATCTGTGTGTCCCAAGATAGCTGCTGAGACCTATCTGGGATCAACAGACTCTACTGCAGCTTGGACATGATTTTCCATTCGGGGTGGGTGGTGCTGAATTTTTGATTTAGTCAATGACATGCTGTTTCTGCAGCTCCCACTTTTCCATCTCCTGTTGTTATCACGAGGTTTCAAAGTATACTGAGATCCCTACAGCAGACTCTTCTTCCATATGGGCTGGTCCTGGGCAATAATCTCCCACGAGTTGACACTGATGTTGCATCTTTTTAAGTTGGCATTGAGGACATCCCTGAAGTGCTTTCTCTGCCCTTCTCTTGAGTATACATCTTGGCTGAGCTGGGAGAATAAAACCTGCTTCAGGAGTCTGGTGTCAGACATCCTGATGACATGGCCACCCAACGATGTTGATGTTGGATGATCATCACCTCAGTTCTCATGGTGTTTGCTTGCAGAAGGACACTAATGTTGATATATCTGTCTTCCCACTGGATTTAGAGGATCTTCCGCAGGCTGCATCATGGTACTTCTTCATGAACTTTAGATGTCTTGTGTATGTTGTATGTGTCTCAGCTCCATACAGCAAGATGGGAGTCATGACTGCTTGATAAACTATGAGCTTGGTTTCAGAGCTGATGTCATGATCTTTGAACACCTGTTTTTTCAGGAGTCCAAAGGCTACATTTGCACATTTGGGGTGATGTTGGATTATTTCGTTGATGTCAGCCTTGTGCTGAGATGGCTTCTGAGGTACAGGAAATACTCGACATTCTCCAGAGTCTCACTGTGGATCTGGATTACTTGGAACTGGGGACTGTTTATTAGGAGTTTGTTGGTGGAGGACCTTAGTCTTCTGAATGTTAAGCCTCAGTCCTGTTTACTTCTATACCTTGGTAAAGACATTGACAATTGCCTGGTCTGCTTCTGAGTGAGCACACACCACAGCATCATCAGCGTACTGGAGCTCAATTATTGAGGTCGGGGTCATCTTGGTTTTGGCTCAGAGTTGACTGACGTTAAATAGGTTAAACAGCTTACCATCCATTCAGTAGTTTGGCTCCACCCTGACAGGAAGCTTGTTGGTGGTCAGTTGTATCATTGTGGCAAGGAATATTGGGAAGAGTGTTGGAGTGATAACGCAGTGTTGCTTAACTCTTGTTTTAATCTCGAAGTGATCTGTGATGAATCCATTACTGAGAGCCACTGCTATCATGCCATCACAGAGCAGGTAGAGAATGGTGACAAATTTTGGTGGGCATCCATATTTTGGAAGGATCCTCCACAACGCTTCTTGACTAACGGGTAAAAGCTTTAGTGACGTTAAAGAAGGCCATGTAGAGAGGCTTATGTTCTCAGCATTTCTCCTGCAGCTGGCAATCTGTGAAGACTGGCAGTTATGCCTCTTGATACTCTAAAGCCACACCGAGATTCCAGGAAGAGCTCTTTGGCAAGTGGAAGGAGATGATTTAAGAGGGTTCTTGCAATAATATTTCCTGTGGTGGACAGCAGGGAGATCCCTCTGTAGTTTCCACAGTTGGACTTGTCTCCTTTCTTGAAGATTATCACAGTCGTGGCATCCCTGATGTCATTTGGGATTTCCTCTTCGTTCCAGATCCTTAAGATGAGAGCGTGAAATTGTGCTGTGAGCTCCTCTCCCCCACTTAAAGATTTCCATAGGGATTCTATCTGATTTAGATCTAGCCTTATCATTCTTCATTTTCTTGATGGCTTTCTTTATCCCTCATCAAGGGATTCTATGATCGTCTCTGACTGGGTGTTGTGGGATGGAGTTGAGAACACTCTCGTCAACAACAGACGCTCAATTGATAAGGTCTTCAAAATGCTCCTTCCTACGGACATTGATGGCCCCCTTTCCGTGATCAGGTCTCCCCCATCCTTAGGTCTCAAGGGGGTTGGTTCCCGAGTGCTTTGACTGTAGATAGCTTTGGTGGCACTGAAGAAACCGTGCATATCATGGATGTCAGCAGGATGTTGAATCTCCTTAGCCTTGTCTTCTCACCGTTTATTCATCATATTGTTGGTCCTCCTTTGAACCTGTGCCTTGGCTTGTTGGAGATTCAACTTCTTTTGCTTGGAGTTGGTGTCATTTTGCCAAGCTTGGCACTGAGATGTTTCAGGGAAGACATGGCTAGGAGACGGATAGCAAATATTAACAATAGAAAAGTTAACATTCTTGAATTAACAGAAAACAGAAAACATTGTCTAAATGTGTTTTCTTTTTAGCAAATTCAGCGAGTATCTATGAGCCGAAACTCTTCAGTTTAAAATCCTAGCTCCAGCCAGTCAAGGCAAAACTCATATTGCTTTTATTGGGGCCAGAGTTCTACCTTTAATATTTTCTGGTATTAGCACAAGACCCTTAGCCCACAGATGTCCATTTTTTCTACTGTCTCATTTGTTCTAACATAGCACAGCACATCTTACATGTCTCTGATCACAGGGCAGTGGACCCAGGTGGTCTCTTCCAGTCCAGTTATTCATCTAAAGAGGATGTTTTCCCCCATTATGAGATTATTAATTTTGCTTGTTTGTTTGTCAATAAAGTTTTAATATTAAAACATTTCTTGAATATTGTTATGTTTGGAATTTTGTCAGAGAAAGACTAATTAAGGATTTATTCATTAAATAATTGACCATCACATGGATTTCAGGTTCTGTGGTTTATTGAATCAATAATTGCATTTTAGAAATTCTCTTTTTCCCCCTTAGCTTGAGTTGTTATTAAAAAAGTAAGCATTGCTATTCTAGGCCATCTCAAACAATAACTGAACTTGTTTTCAAATGCTTTCAAAATAAATTGATGCCCGGAATCAATCAACATATTATATGGTGTTTAACTATGTAAGTAAGAAAACAGTGAAACACATTGAGCCCATTCTGTTCAAGTAAATAAAATATTGAGTAATTTTGTTTTTTTGCTTTTTTGTTTTTCAATTATAGGGAAAAGACATGTATCTCATACTGGAAAACGACATGTTAAATTTGGTTGACCCAATGGATCGCACTGTTCTTCATTCCCAGCCCATTGTGAGCATCAGAGTCTGGGGTGTGGGCCGTGATAATGGCCGGTGAGTTAGAGTCTAATTCTTTGCTGTTTTGTCCAGTTAACTTCTACAAATGCAGGATACCGTTGCAGTGTCAAAATTAAACAGAAAGCTTTGAAACAAAATGAGTTTCAAATTTTCAAAATATGAAAAAGTTTTGAAACGTTTCAACTTTCGAAGCCAGGCTTGCTATAGCTAAACAGAAACTAAGGAGAGGGAAGGGGAGGAGGGGGAAAGGACTGCTTTGATATTGACATCTAGCTCCCTGTTCAATTCCCCAGTTCTCTGATCATTTCCCCAGCTCTTCCTGGGAGGCGCGGGCCCCCCCAATCTGCATGCAGGTTTTCAGCAGGCTGCCACTGAAACTGCCCCCCAGGAAGAGCTGGGGAAATGATTAGAGAGCTGGGGAATCGAGCAGGGGGCTGGGGAATTGAACCGGGAGCCAGGGTAATGTTCAGGACTCCCCAGCTCTCTGATTGTGGAATGACAGCAGGCTGGGACTGGCACTGTGCACAGCCTGTGACGAGTGCCAGGAAGACTGGTGCTGGCCTCAACCAGCAGCGGCAACCTGCTGTCATCCCGCTTGCAGATCCGGTGGCCCAGGTCCCCCAAGAGGGCTGCAGGGCTGTGCAAGACTCCTCCTGGGGGGCCTAGGCCCCCGGATCTGCGCACAGGATGACAGCAGGCTGCCACTGCCAGCTGAGGAAGCGGCAGCACCAGGCTTCCTGGTGCTCACCACAGGCTACACCCAGCAGCAGTCCCAGCTGGCAGCAGCAACCTGCTGTCATCCTGTGCGCAGATCTGGGGGCCCATGTCCCCTTGGAGGAGTCTGGCATAGCCCCGCCCGGGCAGGACTCCAGATCTGCGCACATGATATGAGTTTTTCTGTCAGCAGTTTGAAGTACAGTTTCCCAGAAACCCCTGCACCTATCTCCTTGAAACTTGGCAGCTTCATGCCCTCAGAAGGGGCTACCATCCCTGCAATTTTCATCCGCATCAGGCAAGAGATGACAAAGTTATAGGCATTTTCATGATTCCTCATTACTTCCTATGGGCAAAATATCAAAACACGTCAAAACAGCTAAACAGTTTAAACAAAACAAAACAGTGCTTTGAAACAAAGCGAAACAACGAAATGAAATACTGTCCCTTTGAAATGGAATTCAAAATGACACGGTGCTGTTTCTCACAGACCTAGTATTTAGAGATAAGCAGGAAAGTGTGTTCCTGTCCTGTGTTTGAGATTTAAAAAAAACCCTGTCATTCAAGAGTGGGTTGAATTAGAATTACCATACGTTTGTTTTTTTCCAAACATGTCCTCTTTTTTTGCCCCCAATCTCTGTCCAGGTGGGTTTTTTAAATCTGACCAAATGTCCAGGGTTTTCCTTTGTTCCACTGGTGGGAGCAGGAAAAGGATGATTGGAGGCAACAGGGAGCACAGATGTACCTACCTGCAGCTGCAGAAGCGCGTGCAGACACATGTGGCACTTCCTGTTTCCTCTGATCACCCTCCCCCTTCTCCCACCAGTGGAGCAAAGCAAAATCCCAGACATTTGGTCAGGGCAGGGGA